AACTCGTGCTGGCATATGTAGGCAGTGCTATTATTAGCGGCGCTCCAGACAGTCTGCTCGTATACACATTTATACACACACACACACACACATTTATATATAAATAAGTCGAGTCTTGCACCGTGATTTTTGTTCACGAGGAGATATTATATTATGTGATGCAATAGCGAGAGAGCGAGGATAATCGCATTTCTCGGGAGTGGATTATACAGAAGGGGGTCCCTCTCTATGATCTCGAGTGTCATAATCACCGGGCGCTTTATTCCACTCGGGGCACCTTTGCCCCTGCGCGTGGATGCCTACGCACATCGTGCGACGTACCATTTCTGAAGAGCGCATTGGTGAAATTGAGCGATACGGGGTCGATTTGATCGGCAATTACAATGAGATGGACTATATGCTGATTTTTCGCCAGTCCCGTATATACATATACGTTGTCCTTGGACCAATAATGGAAAGGAAGAAGAGTATACTTACTAATGAAAAAAAAAAAAAAAAGCCTCACACCCATTGACAAAGGGAGCTTCGATGAGCAAAGGCGTCAATTTTGCGCAATCAGGTGGAAAAACACATCGTAAACGCCTATGCAATGCGGACGGAAATACCAGTGCTACTTATCCCGCAAAACTAGAGCGGCTAAAAGTGCCCCGGACAATCGCTTTCCGCCCCGGAAATGGGTTCTTCGCTAATCTTTCACCCCCCCCCCCTCTTCCACGCACAACAGCTCTAATCTCCTCTCTGACGCTCACTTTGCACTTTCCGGCAAGTCTCCTCCACATGGACATACATATATATGCAGTATTCGGCGCGCCAGAGCATATATATTCACTTATACGCAGTCGGGGCCACTGTTTACTTTGTAATGCACCCCTTGACACTCTGGGGAGGAAGAAACGTTCCTTTCTTATTCCTTCGCGTGGACTCCAATTAAACGTCTAATTAAATAGATTAAGCACCGTATATTGTTGGGTGCGTGGCAGAAAAAAGAAAAAAAGCGGATTAGCCGGGGCGCCCTGCAGTCGAGTGAGCCCCAATACGAGCGTGAGGGACCCATGTGTATTTCGGTGCGAATCGCTTAAGACCACTCGCTCGAGTGGAGTCGTTGTCGCTGTTAAGTAGGCGCTCCCACGCCCCTCTTTTTTCCTTCCTTTCTTTCTTTGGTGATGTTACATGTTATGCATCCAACTGGTGGATAATCGCTTCTTCGTTTTCTTGCCATTTGTAAGTATGTTGTAGGGAAAAAAAAAAAAAATGCAAAAACTCAAAGAGGTATGGTGGTACAGCACATCAGCTTGCGCGGTGCAGTTTTTGGCACACACGTGCCCGGGAGATGTACAAGAACCCCTTTACGGTATCCTCTTTTCCTTCGATTTTTCTTCATCGTCTGATGGGCTAAATGTTACGTACATACAACGACGACGATGATGATGATTGCGTTGACGGTGATGAGTCCTGGCGCTTGGGTTTTTTTTTTTTTTTTTTTCTTACTCTTCCGCTCTACTGTCTATGCCCTTCTTGTTCCAGGCGGTGGCCGCTTTTATTTTTCTCAAACGCTCCACGGTTAATTGGCTGCGAACAAAAAGAAGACGTAAATCTGAGTTGGGGCCTCTGTTTAGGGGGTTTTTAGATAGTAGTGGTTTTTTTTTTTTTTTTTTTTTTGTGGACGATGAATCTTCGTTTGGTTGAGGTTTTTCGTCTATGCTCATGATAGGTGGTGAGCACCACTGCGAGTGGGGGTATATTTTTGTTCAGGCAATATTTCCACAAATGAGTAGTCAACAGTATTTCTGTGTTTGAAAATTAAAATTATGAACTTGGCATCACACATTGATATGTAATTTGACAAAATGACTCGGTGATGACTCGGTTTGATTAAAATCCAGTAACAATCAACGTAATAGAGTTCGCATTGTAAAATGTGTAACGAAAGATAAAAATATCTGGATTTGCTGAACGTATATTAATTTGCCTTAAAATTTCCTGTTGTGCGGCGCTAGCTGTGATAATAAATCACACATGTATTCAGTACGTTATCAAAAAGTGTAATTGCGCGGAAACAGCTTTTTATAAAATTTCATTTCAATAAACAATTAACTCGTAAAAAGTTTATCTTTCGTGATTTCCAAGTGAACCAACAAATTTATTGATGTTATTTTTTGTACAGTAACCTTTCTCGGGGAATATCGAAACTTTTTCAAATTACGCTGAACGCAGATCCTAACGAGCCGAAATTGATTATTTTTTCAACAACGAAGAGATTGATGATAAATTTAATCAAAAAGTATTGATTTAATTACGTATTTGCAGTTTGAAGATTGTTTACCGTACACTTGTAAAAGAAAATCAAACAAAAAATATTTTTAATACAATAACCAGTCGACAAATCAAGTTTCCTATTCGCTACGCTCATCTATGAGCTCAAACAATGCACAAAAAAGGAGAAAGCAAACGTGAAAACGTCGCTCTAATCACATTTTATTCGATCCGCACTTGCTAACAATGAGTCCCTCCTTTCGCATTATATACGACCGACAAAGGAAAAACATTTTTTTTTTCTCATGCAGAAAAAAAAGATAGCTGCTCCTCCCAAGCAAAGCTCTTTAGGCGATTTGGTGTACCGTGTACGCAGGCCTGAGCCCAGAATTATACAACAAAACACTGATTTTCCCTACGAGCTCCCCGTCGCGCTATGCGCCGGTCTACAGTTACAGGGCGCGAGCGTATAACATATTCCCTCCCGTTTAATCTTCCCCCGGCCGGTATTCCGGGAAATATGACACCATTATGCTTTACCCCCTTGTTCCGTAAGCCGCGCGCTCTATTAGACGCGTACACGCGTCCGCGCCGTGCACCAACTCTCGCTCTTGCTTTCTTTTTCTCTGCGACGAGCGTGTGTCTGTCCATGCAAGTGAATGGGTAGGCCGATCGGTTTCAAAAGTTGGGCAGCCCAAAGTATGATTTTCGCAAGGAGAGGGTACACGTTTTGGGCTTTTACGATTTGCGAGCGCGTTTCGGTTTTCATCGAAAGAGAAACGGGCATATGTTTAACAGAGGGCATTTATACAAGTACATTTGCATGATTGCAACGATGAGACGGTTCGTTAAAGACTACAAGTCTTTTTTCGTACTCAAATTATTTTACTAGTCCTGTCTCTGTGCTCTGAAAATTATTGAATCCAGTAATGAATGACAAAGTTACATTTCAAGTACATAAGACAAATACTAACCCAAAGTTTTTAATCCAACATTTCATGTACATCTCATCGAAGTATTTTATAATTCTTGCCACAATTTTTTCAAGTATACATTGAATTTTTTATGTCCCTTGAGACTCGCAGTAATGCACTTTTGAAAGAACATCATTAACAGTTTATGTAAAAAATTACTTCTATGTATGAATAAATTAAGGAGGAATTTTTGCAGATTGCACAAGTGAGTTTAGCTCATAAATAAACACTGTCAGAGCTTTTGGTATTTAGTAAAGTTTTTCCTGTCTTGCAGTTTGAAAGTTTGATATTTAAAATTTGTATTAATGATAGATGGTTAAGTATTTAACTAGTTCTGCTTTTGTCATGCATACCTACCATCGACAGATAATGAATATTTAAATATTAAATGGTCAAGCTTGAATTATTAAATGTTGTCTGGACCCCTCAGAAATCTAAGGAATTGATTATATTCACAATGCAAAACAATTTTACAACTATACGTAATAGTCCCATTGGAAGCCTCATCGTGCCGTAATAACAGCACAAATCAAAACTTATTTTTGTATCAGGCCAGAAACACAAGGTGTATGTTCTGCTACTCCTTAAAAAATCAGAAATTTCCATTAGCCTGACGTCTATATTTACAGGACATACTTAAAGAATGAAGTCCCCAGTATCCAATGTACATTATACAAGCATGGGTAGATACTTGAAAATACTTATTTTACCACCAACTGTGCTATACAAACGTTAAAACGGACGATTTGATAATAATGATGAGTATAATCTCCATCAGTCAAACTGCTGACTGACGTTTACACTATGATTGGTATTCATTGATTAGAACAATACTAATTTTTGTAACAACTTCAACTTCATTGAGTGACTCAATAAGCCATTATACTCGTAAGATAGGGACATACAAGAAGTAATTGTTACTGAATATTATAAATATGTTAAAAACAAAAATATTTTATATTTTCGTGTCAAACATACTATATTAGCTATTATCTTTTTGCTTGTTAACCTTTTATTATCATTTTGCATGTGTGTTTCTATCTTAACATTTTTTATTAATGAAAAATTTTACACGTAATTGCTCGTGTTGCTAGCACACAATAACTTTCCTTATATCAAGAAATTGACTTAACTATATTAATTTGTTGAAACAAGTGAGCATTTTTTTTTGTGGAATATTCAATGCCACCTTAGTTAAGTTAAAACTTGTGTTATGAAGCCTCTTTCATTGTAGAAAGAGTACAAGATTAAGTCAAATATTACTGAAATAAAGTAAAATTTCCAATGCTTTCTACTTTTATTTTAAGTATCCACAACGTTACTTATTTTTCATCGTAATATCACGGCTGTAATTTAATACATAAAGTATGAAATTTTTTTTGAGAAAGAAATTATAATATTGTAATTTAAAACATACCTAGACAACGAGACTGATAAACTGATCTTACTGGTACAATAAAATTTTTAAAAGTTTAAAGGTATCAATTGTAAAGTTATTATCAAAAGACAAACAAAAACAAAAAAACAAGTGCATCGTTTTAAAAATTTTTGTAAATGATGAAAATTTACGATGAAAAAAACATTACGAGAGATAACATTTAACTTATAACACTTTAATGTCCCTATCATTCAGAAATTTATTTTATTGGTAAATAACAAACTCAAACTCGTAAATAAACTTTTTTAGCACAAAATTTCGTATAAATATCGCCAAAACTTTGAGGATGGCATAGTCGAATCAACGATTGCTCTGATTGTAGAACATATTCAATCATGATTGCTAAGACGTTTTTCTTGGTCCTTTTAACCACTGCAGTATTGGTAAGAAATACTATTATTATAAGATAATTTTTTAAATTCTACTCCATTAGAGGATAAATACTAATAAATTATAATTTTAGTGCAACCCACATGGCGATAGACCAAAGGTAAGAACTATTACTCATTAAATTATTGCATAAAGATAAGTTCAGCTCGTATACGTCAATTAGTAATCAACCTTCCACTATTAAAGGCTAGGTAGTGTACTAACATGTACATATGCTTGTGATTTCATCCATTAACCATTTTAACATAAAATTTCTGTACTGTATTTCAAAATATACCGTTCGTTTTATAGTTGACTGGTAACACAAACATAGATGTCAATGCTGATGGAGGATCCAGTGTCAATGCTGTCGGTAAAGTTAGGTCAACCGTTGCAATTAACGCCAATACGCATGCAAACATTGATGTCGACGCAAGAGACCATTCTAATGTCGCAGCCAACGCTAATACAGATTCAAACACCAAGATAGAAGCTAATAGAAAATCATCGGTTAATTCTAATGCTCAAGGTGCAGCTAACGTGGATATCTTAAGTAACAATTGGTCAAGTGTAGATGCTAACGCTGATACTCTATCGAACGCCAAACTTACGGCAAACAGAAAATCGACAATTGACGCCAATTCCAAGGGTGGTGCCAATCTAGATGTTTTGAGTAACAACTGGTCCAATGTGAATGCTAACGCTGATACTCTATCGAACGCCAAACTCACTGCCAACAGAAAATCGACAATTGATGCCAATTCCAAGGGTGGTGCCAATCTAGATGTTTTGAGTAACAACTGGTCCAATGTGAACGCTAACGCTGACACCAAAGCCAATGCCAAACTCGATGCCAACTGGGTCTCAAAGATCGATGCCAATGCCAAGGGTGGCAGTAACCTCGACGTAGTAAGCAAGGATTGGTCTAAAGTGGCGGCAAACACGGATACCGGTGCTAATGCGAAAGTCGATGCAGTCTGGGCCTCAAAAGTCGATGCCAATGCCAAGGGTGGCAGTAACCTCGATGTAGTAAGCAAGGATTGGTCAAAGGTTGCAGCCAATACAGACCAACATGCTAATGCGAAAGTCGATGCAGTCTGGGCCTCAAAAGTCGATGCCAATGCCAAGGGTGGAAGTAAACTCGACGTAGTAAGCAAGGATTGGTCTAAAGTGGCGGCAAACACGGATACCGGTGCTAATGCGAAAGTCGATGCAGTCTGGGCCTCAAAAGTCGATGCCAATGCCAAGGGTGGAAGTAAACTCGACGTAGTAAGCAAGGATTGGTCTAAAGTGGCGGCAAACACGGATACCGGTGCTAGTGCAAATATTGACGCAAATTGGAAAACGCAAGTTGATGCCAATGCAAAGACAGGTGCAAGTCTCGATGTTCAAGGAGCTGATGGTGCTACTGTAGCCGCAAATGTTGGCAGCCGTTCTCGCTCTGAAGTAGATGCTAAGATCAATAGTCAAGTTGGATTAAATGCCAATAGAAGGAGTAATGTTAAAATTGAAGCCATTGCGTAATAAGTCAGTTCCATGGAAAAAATTTTACTATCTTTCAAATTTTTTGTTAAATGGTTTGATACTGTAATTTAACATTTGTAAAATTTATCATCTATAATAATAATAATAATGAAATCACTTACTGTCAATTAAAAACGTTTATTTCATTTCCACCTTAATTATAATATGTTAACTATATTTTACAATTTTTCTCTTTCGATTTCTGTGAATACATTTCAAGTTCTTGTAGTACCATAGTTTTTTACTAACTTAAATAATTCATGGTAATACTTACAAACTGTGACATACAATACAGATGGGCGATTTGTATAAACATCGTTCGTCGAAAGTCGATCATAATCGATCTATTACAAAACATAAAAACAATGTAAATGTACCACTTTCATTTTGCTTGTATTGTGTATTTACAACACGAACAGGTATACTTAAATTAAAAAGCATGTTATTTGACAAATGACTAGTTTTACAATGAGCGATCAGGTAAGAAAAAATTCATCGATCCAAAAAATTGCCAAAAAATCGATTCAACTAAAAACTCGATGGATCTTTTCAAAGTCGATTAAAATCGCTTATCCTATATAAGCGTATACGTAAAATGTCTGTCATGTGTTAAATGATAAATTGAAGTAATATGATAAAAATTAAACACAGAAATGTGGTTCTTCGGATGTTATATACTCATAAGAAGATTTTCAGAAATGAGACTTTGGTATATATTTTATCTCCCATACCTTATGTCTTTGATAAGTTTGGTTTAGAGAGCCCATCTATAGACGTTTATTGTCCATCGACTATAAAGCTAGAACAGAGGACTAACGCAAGCATCAGAAGGCTAAGAGAGCAAGCAGTGCACGCTCGGTCTTAATCGAAAAGTCTTGTAGCTATTTGACGGTAATCGATTTACGGCTCTGGTCTCGCTAAGTATCGATCATTTAGTCAGCCCCTACTGATATAAACATACGCATAACGTCCCCTTTGCCGAGCAATTTGGAACAGAAAAAAATGTCGGGTGACGTAAGGCATTTCTAAAAGTGCCAAGCAGCAATGTCTCCTCATTGCTGCATAAAGAACAAAATAAAAGGGGGAGGGTGAAAGAGACGGGCAAAAAAGAATAATGGTACGATTGCGGCAAAAAAGTGGAATGTGGAGCATGAAAAGGTGATCGATCGGCCCGCAGAAAAACGCTCTGCGGTCCACTGCAGATATAATCATGGCAGCTTGGCATGTAAGTGCACCAGTGTCCGTAGGGGTTTCAGCAGGTTTATTGGAGAGAAAGGGAATAAAGGAACGAGAGTCCCCAATGTCTCCATTAAAAGCCACGAATGGAGCTCCCAGTTGGCATATTATCCGAAGTATCTCTCTGATTGTGAGCAAAAGCGTGTACGTACCGCGGATATATAGATAGGGAAGATGGACAAGTTTTTGTTATGGGTAACCAGTCCCCTCACCCTCTCTAGCAGCCACTATACTGTAAGACTATAAAAGTTTTTTTTTTGCTGACCCTGAACTTGTTTGTTCCCCATGAATATCCACTTTTTTGTATTTATTTATTCATGTTGTTCAAACCTGCCAAATAAACGTCGAGCAATTATGACATTGACAATCGTAAAGTGCAGCTGAGTCAATTTGTACAAGTAGGAGTATGTTTTTAGTAAGGTTCACAGCCCAAAAACTTTAGAAAAATTCAATGCTTTCTAAAATGAGCAAGAATTAAAGAGATTAATCCACAATCAAAGGTTTCTCCAATAATAAGTTGAACAGAGTGTCCAACTGACGCGAAAGAATTATCGTCCCTGTTGCAAAAAAAAAAAAAAATACACGAATGAGCGTACAGGAGGAAAAAGAAAAGCCACAAATCATCGATCAAACGACCATTTGCGCGCTCGGTGTCTGCGTGCCGTCGGTCATCCGTCATAATTTCGTACTCGAGTGGTCGCACTCTGCTTCGCAGCAGATTGGCTGTTTACAAGTTAATCGATGATAAATGCCATCAGAGCCCAACACATGCAGAGAAGGGCCTCCTAAACCCCGCTGATTCCTTGGGGGATGCCACTTGGATTTCTCTCCCTGCTGGATGAGGAGAGAGAGAGAAAAAAAAACTCGCATCGAGGGGGAGAGTCGAGCGTACCCATCTCCAGAGTGACCTTGTAATGGCCCATTTAGGGCGGGAGAGCGGCTCGTTCGCAGGCGCGACATGTGGGCTTACCGAAGCAAAACACCATCTCGACAGGAACGATGCTACACTGACACGGGTTCGTGCGCGAGTGCACGGGGGATGTACTGGCGGTAGATCGATGGGGCGGGTGTGGAGAGTACATCAAAACGAGGGAGACTCGCGTGCACTGGACGGAGAATTCTAGTGAGTGCCTGTGTTATATAGTCCACGAGGAATGTCTTGGCTCGCGAAGAATGTCAGTCCTAATGTCTATGAATTTTCTTTAATAGGAATTAACTTTCAATTATATTTACATTTACTTTGATTTTCTAGTCAATTTTAGTCCAGCCAAATAACGAAAGCAAATTACTTGAATTATTGAGACACTCAATTGGAAATTACTATTATCTTTGTAACAGCGATCGCCATGTTTTGGTGTTAGACTCCACCAGCTCTTTTTACGCCATTTATTTTTATTTTTGATAGTGTCAATCCTTTTGTACTTGAGCTGTTTTTGTTACTATTTTTCTCGTTTACAAAATTTTGTACTTATACGTATCTTTAAGATTAATGTTCCGATATACCTAATATGTAATGGAGTCTGTTAACAGTATCCTTCTGTTATATTACAACGTATTATGTTTTGGCTAATATGGACCATAAGTCCTTAGCGTATTAACAAATCATCCAATGTAATCTCCATAGTAATAAGATTTCTCCAAGATAAACAATTATTGCCGTACTATAGTATACTTTGAAGACCAAATTATTGTGAAAAACAGTAATTTTTGCTTTCCATTTCAATCTGCTCTAAAAGATTTCAATTTCCACACCTTATCCAGTGACTCTCTCTTTGGGTAAGCAAAACATTACCGCATCCATTTCGCAACGCCTTGCATTTCGAATGGGCACGATCTCTATAGGCTTGCATAAAATGTGCTATTTCCATTCATGAAAATCGAAAAAACTTTTGTCACCTGCATTCGAAACAAAAGAAAAGCACATTACCTAGCCTCTCCGTTTCGGTAAAACCTGAGCAGCAGCAACGTAGCAACGATACAGCAACACGAGCAACAAAAATACATTGCGAGTATTATAATGCATACGAAACATCGAAGTTGAATTCGCTTCGACATACCTCGAGATCAGCAAAGGGGACGAGAGAAACCGCAGCAGTGGTGCTGAAAAAACTCGGTGGAAGAGAAGCTGCTGGCTACCGGATAAGGCTATTAGCATTTATATGAGCTGTCGCTCGCTTTTCGAACACTGTCTTTTTACATTCCTCTCTTTTTTTTCTCCTATATACCTTTACCACCCGCTATTTTTCTCGCAATACGCACACGATAGATGCGAGCGTATTAAATACATTTTCCTTTCCTCCATGCTTTCATACAACTCATTCTAATAATTTCCATCTACCTCTCGTTCCTCGCGTGCCTATTCCAATCCATTTTTTTCCTTTCCACATTCTCCATTGCACTCCTTGTTTCCACCCCAAGTCCTTCGCCCTCTTCAAACGTAATATTCTTTCCCTCTGTTAACACTCTCGTATACTCATTTTCACTTGCCCCTCTCGGTCCCACGGTATATTTTTGTATACGCTTCCGTTGTTCACCCGTGCTCATTTGCGCTTCTCCAGCCGATATCTGTTTTCCGCGCATTCCTCTCCCCCATCCTCCCCTTTGATTATCTCACTTTATTTTTTTTTTTTTTTTTCTTTTTTGCTCCGGAGTTTTTCTCTCCACCCGGGGTGGCAGGCTTCGTCTGTCCCGAGGCCTCGTTTATTTTTCTCACCTCCCCCGCTGTACCTCACGTCTGCTCTTTGTAACAGGCATTGGTGCGCTATTTTTCCGCTTTTTTTTTTTTTTTTTTTTTTTGTTTTTTTTTTGTTAGCGCCGTTATTTCCCCTTTCGAGGGCTGCGCGTGTATACACTTATTGGCAAGAGCTGTACCAGCCACCCCCTCCAGCGACTCTCGACCGCGTTCAGTCAATCACGTAAGTATACCTTAGGCTGACTGTGTGTGTGTTTTTTCAGCCGATCCCTTGATGTTGTGTTTTGCAATTTTGCATATCGTTTATTAAGGACAAAAAAGTTGCTTGTGTGATGATGTATCGGATGATGGAGTCAAAGCTCTTGTTATGGAACGTTTGGAGTTGGTTCAAATGGATTTTTCCTCTTTCATTGGTGATGGAAACTGAGGCATAGTGTAAAATTGCAACGGCAATAATGGCTTGTAAAAGGTTCGTATCTTTGCGACAAAACGCACAAGAACTCTTGGGATAACGCGATGCTGCCTTTTTTTTCACATGAGCAAACACAAAAGACACTCTTCGCAAGTCATGAAGTATTTTTGTTAGGATTGTACGAACATGATAATTTAATTATTCACATCGTCGCGTCTTTCCCAACCGTTACGCGTCATTTAAAGATGCGGTAAAAAAATGCGACGCGACGGAAGACGTAAGAGTCGGCAAAGTTTTGAAAAAACTTTTCACGCGCGAAAAATCTCACCCATAATCGCGTTCCCTAATCCCATCTTCGGTCCTTTATCTCGTCTTACATCCCGTCCAATCTAAATTTTCATTTGGCAAGGAAAGAAGAAAAAAAAAAAAAAATAAAAAAATAAAAAGGGTCGCACGCAATCATCGCCCCCGTCAGACAATGCGAGCGACTCTCATCGGTGTAGCGGCCGCACCTCTGCGCAGCAAAGGCAGGGGAGAAAGGGCAGCCGGAAAATTAACGATCCTCAGCCGAGACTGATACTGCGCTGAAATGAAAAGAGCCGCTAGATTGCCAGCCAATCCAAGCTGGAACGGACACCTACACGCACCCGTTACTCCTCGTGGCGGTGGCCGGTGGTCTTACCCGCGCAAGCGCAGCCCGCGCTACCCCACGGAGGAGGAAGTGCCGATGGTACACGTTTACGGTGTGCCTATATATATATATACGCGTTCGGAAGAGATGGCAGGATGTAATATCCACCCCGTTCCATTTGCGCGAGTTTGCCTCACGTATACACGGCGCGCCACGAGCGCTTATACTCCCGTTACCCCTGGCAACCGCTGCGATCGCCACCTTCTCTCTTTGTGTCTCTTCTTCGCGAATCCCCCTGGACTCGACTCCTCGTTCGGTTATCGTTGTATGCACCTTCACGTAGGACTTGCCAGGACCTACGTGGATCATTCCGTTATTGTAATATCATTCAATTGTATCGTCCTTTGCAAGGTTTTTTTAACAATAGGTACATTCAAAGTTGATGTGATGTTCTTATACGTGTCGAAAACATTTCAGATTTTGGAAAAATTCTTACGGACAATTGAGAAAAACAAAAAAAAAATAAAGAGATAAAAAAATCAATGATCTTTACTGTAATTTGCCTACAGGACTCGTCCACTTTCACGTTTAACTAAAATTCTTTTTTTGCGGCATTTGAGTTCACGCGGTCAAGTGCTACAAAGAAAAAACGTTGGTTGGCATATATGTAAGGTCTCATTACCCATATACTAATGCTGATAATTAGATCACCAGACGAGGATTGATGTAGCGTAAGTAAGACTCCAAAACTGTTTAATCAGTGAATAAGTATCATGATAATAGGTAGAGTGAAATGTATATAAATGTATACCCTGAGCCAACTCGCAATTCCAAGTAGTATAGGTAAACGGTACGTGCCGACGCGGAGAAAACCGCAGTGGCCCTGTAGGTATTGTACTAAACAGCTCCGGAGGAGCAAAACAGCCGCATTGCCGAGAAGACAAAAACAACAAGGAAGGTGTAGCTATACGGTACACCCACCGCTGGAAAGAGAGACGCTCAATCACAACGGACGCTCGTGTAAAGGGCCGAGTGCCACACCACCGAAGAGCGGGGAAGGCGCTCTCCCGTACACACATACACGCTCACAACATTCTCGGCGGATAGCACCGTTAGTTTATCCCTCCGACCCTCCCCTCTTCGAATGGGGCACTAATAGCCGGGGCGGCGCTTATACCACCGAACACTAATAGCCCCCTATCTCACCCTCTGGCCTCCTCCTTCCCTACCCGCGGCACTTTTCTCGCTCGCTGTTCCCATCTCTGTCCCTCTTCTCGTCTACTCGATTCCAATTTTCCCCGAAAGCCACTGCTGTTCTTCTACGCTCCCCCGTGCTACTCGTATAGATCTGTGCTTCCACCCCCTCCCCACCTTCTACCTCTCTCTCGGCCCCCGAGCGTCCTTCAATCCTCGACGCCCGCTCTGTGTTGTTTATTCGATGCCTTTTCACTCTCTATTAGTCGCCGCGCTCTTACATTTTCTGATTAGCCGCTGCCAGGGCACCACCCCCTCCCTGCTCGCGCGACTGTTCCCCGAGTTTAGCCAAGTTGATCTACTGTTGCTGCTGATGCCGTATACACCCTCGCCCCTCTATCGCTCCGGTTTTCCCTTTTCTCTCCTTCTTCGTCCCTATACATCCTTTGGCTTCTCTATTTTCTGCCATTACTCTTCTCTGCGCGCGCGGGTGTTTTTGCACCCCCGTCCCTTACCCCGTTCCCCGTTACTTTTTGCGCGAATATTTTTGTTCGCTTCGGCTGGTCCTCTTTTTTTTTTTTTCACGGGATTTTCTCCCACGTTGGTGCCTCTCGCGCGAATGTGTTTTCAATTTTTTTTTCTTTCTTTTACTTCGTTGGGTCCATTTTCCGGATTCCCCCTGTCTTTGTCGTTCTTCATGCTTTGCGAAAATTTTTGTCACTCCGTGGTACTACGCGCAAAATTTTTGCACGGGTATTCGGCATGTTTTTTTTTTCTTCCTTTCTCTTACTAAAATGTTTATACTTTGGATGCAGTGTAGTCTTTTAACGAATTTCATCAAATCACGGGTGCCATTTCTGCAAACATGGATCATCTTGTCAAACATAAAGACACCTTACCCATAGAAAGTCTTTTTCATTTGATTGATTTTATTACGAATCCGAGCTTCACCTTACAAGATGTCGAACACATTTTTAATTTTGTGTTTACATATTTAAATTTATTAAGGTCAACACAGCTTATAAAAGGTAATTCTATTGGACGAGCTTTTGCGATACATATACCGATTTCATCGATAAACATATGTCCCAAGTTACATCCCAATAAATCCATAAGTATAAAATTATTAAATTAAAAAAATGTGATGATACATCCACGCTTGCAAGTCCTTAGATACCTTGGAAAGAAGCGCGTATGAAAGAGAGGGAGGGAGAGAAAACACCTCAATTAGCCGTACCAAAGAACACGTCATATCGCATGATCAATACACATGACGGGCCAATTCAATTTCCCCCTGGACGCACATCATCTCCGCAATCACATCATCACCGCGCGCCTCTCGAGCCAGTGTACTGCACGGCCATTTAATATGGCCCGCCGCGACCGCACGGCCTTTCGAGGCTATTGCCGGAGTAATGGAAGAAAACACAAAAGGGATTCCTGCCCGCACCACGCCTCGCCGCCTAATAAGATTTACAGGCCGTAAAAGCTTTTCGATACGGCAGACGGATAACTTTGAGCCCATGCGCACATATTGGAATCATCATCGCTGGAAATCCCGTATGCGGAACATTAATTCCACCCTCTGTTCTATTGGATGATGTAAATGATGGAGCACTATAGGCCCGATCGAAGATGCATTCGTGGTTTCTTTGATCCTTGCGTATTTTTTTTTTTTTTTTTTTTTTCTCTCGTAGACGAATGCTTGTACAAACCCACTAATGGATAATATAAAAATAAAGTAATTTTGGCTCAAGTGGTGATCTTTAAAATCAAACAGTAAGTCAACGAAAACATGCGCAAGGTGCAATAATACCGTCGACATGAACAAATAAGATTAAAGTCGAGTCAAAATTAATGCGAGGAATTAATAAAAAAGGTAAATATTTAGAGATGGCTTTGCGCGAGCGAAGCAGCAGAGCGTATTTCTTTCACATCCTGTGTAATTTTTTGTGGTAGAAATCAATCGTACAGAATTTGATTACTCAAACAATGGTCATTATAATTATTCAACTTTCATATTTATCTTTGTACAGACTTAAATTATCATCTTATTTCTATAGCTAAAACGATACAAGCTTAAGTTAAATTTACATTTCTTCGTCTCACAAACTCGCAGTGGGTCTTTTTTCATTCGAAACTTATAGGTAATGAAATACACGCGTGGAAAAGGTAAACACGGAAAAAAAACACTGTGCCTATCGTTAAAAACAAACCCGTGTGACATTTATAGCTAGTGGTATATTTTTCGAATTGTAACACAGGGTTCCGGCAGAAAACCAATGTTTATCTTTTTCCGCGTGTGTAAGTGCGGAAACATGATTAATGGATTCGATAAAATGGATATAAACATTTCGGTAATGAGAATTAAAATATTCTCTTATCGTTTTTGGTTCAACAGAGCTTAAGATAAGAGACAAATTTTATCACTCGCCTCACTTGACGCGGAAGTAATAAAAGACATTAATACGATTCACATCTCCGTCACTAACGACAAAATATACGCAGAATCAACATTTTGCAGCGAATTATCAATCTTCTTCTTACGCCATGCAAACAACAATTCCCTCGGTCGTCGTCATTCTAGTCGAGCAGTCGTCGTGGTCGAGCAGAGCTTTTTCGATAAACGTGAGATATTTCGAGACTCGTGCGTGAGCTCCAGGCAAAAAGTATTCATCACAATTTAATGGCCCAAATCCCACGATACCAACGAGCACGTTGCCATCCACTATCACTGGACCACCGCTATCGCCCTAAATTTATATACAACAGATTTTTAATAGTTTGATTGAATAAAGAACAAAATAGTAGATTTCGCCCCTAAAGCCAATCTCTTCCAAGGCGATCACTGGGTCCAAGGGCGTTTGTAAAGCTGCACCCAAGAGACCCTTACGTGATAGCCCTGGTCGGATACTCATACACGAAACCTACTAAGTTAAAAGAACTACGGAGGTACAAAAATTAACTCAATTCATTCTTACCGCACATGTGCCTCGGGGAGGATCATTTGGAGATTTAACAGCTTCAACGCAGATGAACGAATCATTTATTCTGATAAGTGGCACCTCTTCCATGTAATTTTTTTTGTACAGCTGACATGAAATTAAACACGTTGTCGGATGTCAATTAAAAAAAAAAAAAAAAAAGGTTTTCCTGTGAGCGTAAAAAAAGAAATTTATAACCACTTACCAGATACTTCAAACGACACTCATTATTCGCGATCACTCGAGTTCTGAGGAAGTGTAGCTGAGGGTCGGAAACCAAATCCGATTTTTCCAAAGCGTCCTGCACTCTTTGGTTGTTATGTGACACCAAACCGTAACCACTGACGGTGGCTATCTTATCTACGTACATGTCGTCACCTTTGGGCAACTGAATCTTATCCAGGCACGCATTTTCCCCCAAATGGAGAGGAGTTGTCAGCTGAAAATGACAAAGCCCACGTTGTTCCAACGACATTCAACCACATCAGTTGATTGCGACTAGTCTACTTACCCTCAACACGGCAATGTCTGCACCCGGTTGATACACCTCGTAAGCCGAGGGAGTGTATATTTTGCTGATGTTGGACTTGACGGCCGAATGGACCTGCAGCTGGTGGAGATTATTGATGCCCGCCATTACGGTGAGCTTGGGTCCGCTGATACTGCCGTCCTCTTCGAACAAACAGTGGGCTGCCGTCACAACGTGGCTTTTGTCGATTATTGCACCGCCACATATCTGTTTGCCGTTCAACATGATCGACGCCTGGTACTTGTACACGCAGGGTGGGGCTACCTCGCCGCCCAGCATGTTTTCGCTCTCCAAGGCGTGAACTTGAAAAATTATTCGTTAGAAAGTTCCTTTTTTTTTTTTTTTTTTTTTTAACAGCAATAATTCAACAGATTTCATATATTTATGACATCGCAACTAAAAGTATTACGTTAAAAGTATACTTACTGCTGTTGATGGACAGGTAAACCAGCAAAGTGGCGAGGAAACATTGCGAGCCGCCCATGATCTTGTTTTGACGTGAAGCGTATTTTTGACTCAAACTATTGACATGCACCGACTTTCATACTTTTATACTCAACCAGTCATTTAGCAAAAGCACCTGTTCGATTGGATATTCCAAGGTTCCACCGGCAGCGTTAATTCGAATTTAATTTTCCCTCGATACGTAATACTTGTTGACATTACGTCACACAATAATCCATATTCTTTAAATATATAAGTTACACATATTATAAATGATTTAATCTGCTATATAATTGCAAAAACAACTCTTACATGATAAACACCAATTGTTGAAATAAAAAAAAAAAAATAAAAATTACGCGAAAGACGTTTTTTGCGTTCGTAGAAAAATCAAGAAAGGACTTTATTACCCTCTCACAATGGGCTTACCAGGTAACAAAAAAAAAAAAAAAAATTTGTCATGGCTTCAATTATTCCAGACTACACAATTTTTCCAATCCAATCATGAGGTACCGCGCCTAATTGAAAAAAAAAAAAAAAAAATCCGCGTATAATTGCCACGAAAACTCTCGTCCCCGCGCGAAAAAAAATTTAATTTCAGTATATTCCTCCAGGAAAGGCTCAAAGCTTGACAAGCGAAAGAGGAGGAAGTCTCACAAAGGAGCAGAGCAGGAGCAATCGATTCGGCCGCGCGCATTGAAAATTCCCGGGTGTGCAATTTTAACCCGGACTAGCGCGACGCGCGGTCGGATGGGCACTTTCAGATACTTCTTTTCGCCGGACGCGAGAACTGCCAAGGGGGTGAGGGAAGCCGTATAGGCGTTGACCGGGCAATTTGCTGCACCTTGGCCCATGCGTATTTTTTCGTTTCGCTCGCGTGTGGTTTCGCTTAGACCCGGGAAAAGGGAAGGTATACCCACGCGGTATGCGTATCGCGCGTTACTTCCTTCCGGTACGGGTAACTTGTTCCGCCTGGGGAGGAAAATTTCTCCGTCATCCTCGTTTCAAGTATACTTTTTTCTCGAGGAACTTTTGCTCGGCTCCCCTGAGAGCATCGCTCGACTCTTATACCGTACGAATGATAATAAAAACCGAAGGACATTTCTCTGGATCTTCGTTTGGTTTATTATGCACTGGCTTCGTCCACCAAAGTGCTTAATTAACACGGGAAACGTATCTGTCTGGGACGACTTATTGATTCCTCCTTCGAAAAAACCTCTCGAGTCCTCATTCACTTCGATACTCCGTGCCAAAAAAAAAAAAAAAAAAAAGGGGGTTAGCTTCTTTTCTTCCACGGCTGGCCGTCCGCTCGCGCGGTAATCACGACTGATCCAAGACTCCATTTCAGATTTTCCACTCGGAAGGGCCCAAGAGCGGAGACAGGGGCGGGGCTGGTTGGCTTTCGCCTTTAAAAGGGAGCGGAGAGGAAAAAAGAAGCAAACGCGGGCAAAGTAGGGAGGCTGGGATGTGTATCGTGTCTTGTTTCTTCCCTCGCTTCGGTTAGGGGTGGAAAAATAAGGCTCGCTCTCGTCGCGACGGCTGTTCGCGGGCTACAAGTGTTGGGATGAAATATTAAAACCACAATAGTAGCTGCGACGGGAGAGCCGAGCTCCTTTTCTCTCTCTCTCTCTCTCTGCTTTTGGCTCCGCGGATTGGACGACTGGGATGAAAGGCCGAGCTGGCGACGCGAGAGACGTGGTAACACAATACGCGACGGGGTCATGATTTCGATATCCACGGGTGCATAGATCCTCGACACGAGTGACAACCAGGAGTAGTGATATTGGGTTAGAGTTTTATTGACCCTCTGTTAAATTTTTCTCGAAAAGGAAAAAATAATAATTACACATTCTGGCATCAGAAAAGAAAAATATTTTTAAGGAAGGGGTAAAATAACGCTACATAACGCCATTTTCTCTCGAACTCTATTTTTTTTTTTTTTTTTTGGTCAAGTAATTACAACTCTTTTGGACATTCCTTCGCACGAGAGCTCAGCAATTTACGAGGCTTGTGCTCCACCATAGAGGCTACGCGATCCTGGACGGAAGGGGTTTCCAATATGTTGTATTTATTGTAGCAGACACACGCATTTCAAGTATTCCTAGCGTCCAAACAATGCTAAGCCCCGCGCCTGTTACCTGTTCGAAAAAACAAAGCGCAATGCATCATACGTGACGTTTTTTGGTTACAGTAGGGAAAAATTGTCAGAATAATAAACGTCGGTCGTTTTTCGCGCGCAAATGAACGATTGCCACCCATACGTGCGCTTCCCCACACGCACGCGCTGGTAAAATTTTCTCCCCGACCCCGGCGCTCTCTCCCATGCGTATACGCGTGCGTACATACGACGTACGTGTGGCCGCGAAAATTTACGTACGGAGAAAGAGGGATTTTTCGGGCTTCCTGCTTCTCTGTCATCTCCCCCCCGGAGAGTTTTCGCTGCGGTGCGTTTCGCCCCCAGGAACAAGAATTTCCAGGGTTTTTTTCGTTCATCAGACGTCGAGTTTTATGGATTCGAGTGCCATTGGCAAAATGACGACTTGCCAAGTGTACATGTATTGCTTGAATTAAAAGTCATACGCGGTACCTTGACAACTCAGGAAATGAAAATAACGTCACGATAATCGTTTACCGGTCGATTTTACGTTGCAATCGGTACATCGATGCATAAGAATATAATCTATAAATCAAAAGTATTTTGTTTTTTCTTAAACGCCCATCAAATGCTGGTAAAAAACAGTTTTTGTCAATCGTACAAGTTTGAGAAAACACCGCGAGGCGAAGCAATTTCATAATTATTCCCAACTCGGTTCCATAAAACGAGTGGTAAGGAAAAAAAAAGGTGAAAAGGGATAGAGCTCGTGTTTTGCACTGCGAAAGATCCAGAGCGGGAATAATATATTTATGGCACAATAAACAAGAGAAGCGTCGAAAAGGGGGGAGGGAGGAGAGCGAGCACCGAGCGTAAGACGAGCGAGTTAATCCGGGGGGCGAGAGAAAATAAATTGCCGGTTAATTACGGGCTCGTGTACCAATTAGCCGGAGCAACAAATTTCCTCGCAGCAGCATTAGTTTTCGTGCTCCGCTCGGCTGATTAAAAAAAAAACCCGAGGGTGGTAGAGAGGGCAGAAGCAGCTCGGAAAATATCCTTGCCCGCTAATCTCAGCCAGAAGCAGCGGCCGTCCTTCTTTCCCTTCGGAGGTCTATAGACAGATGCAAAGGAAAGTTTCCATCGAGTCCGCGCGGAATCTCCGCTCTTGTCTGCAGCTATTTTTAATCCGCGTTTTACCCTGTTGCTCCACGTGACGTAATTACTCCCGGGCTTGTACAGCTCGAAACGCCACTCGGTGCTTCTTCTTCTTCTTCTTCTTCCATCCTCTCTGGTGCTTTTTTACAACTCGACATAGCATCCCAGAAAGAGGGGAAAATCCCTTGGCCTGTGCTTACGTTTTCTCCGGGTTTTCCGATGGTTTGGTGCTGGACTCCCGCCCGTATAGGTGGAAACGGGTGGTCACTCGAGTTTCGTTATATACAGCATACGCTATATACCATATAGGTATGGTTTACTTTGACTGTCGGGCTTCATTGGCGGCCGGATTGTTTTCGACTCGTTTTACTTGATGAGCTTCTTCCTTGCGGGATGTGGAGTTGTTCGATGAAATTTCGCGTCGTATTTATCGATGCTCGCGATTGGGTGCGAACAAGGACAGATAATTTACAGATTTTTTAGTATATGAAAACTCCTTCTCGTCGGAGAAAACTGATATGCTCGAAAAAACATTACATGTGCAAATTTTTTCTTTCTCGTGTCTTTTTTTTTTATTCTTTTTATCATGCATTGCTTCCTCTTTAAGCCACTTAGATAATGTAGCATTTTTTTTATCACGTATTGTTATGGGATACAGTATGAAACGTTAATTCAGACGATCAATCCACTACAAGCCATTTAAATCCTTGCCATCAATGTGACACCTTTACTCAACACAAGATCTCACCATCTGTACTGTATACACAGCAACCCCCTGTCTCCGTACCCTCTTTGAGTATACAATCGTATTGTACGAAAATCTACAGCTCGGAGTGGCTTCAAAGTTACACGCAGCGTCCCCTTTTGCACCTCTCGACTCTGGTAATCGCTTACACTGTCTAAATCATCGCAGTAGATCCTCTCAACGCCTCGGGTCTATTGCAATCCAAACTGAGATGCTTAGCGGTGGTGTTTCATTGACGGATTAAAAGATTATACGTGCAACATCACTCAATGCATCGATACATAAGAAATGTATACTGATGCATGGTATTTTTTATCAACAAAAACCAAGTAATAACGTAAAAATAGGTCCCTCACAGCTACTCGTTTCTCATAACTCTGCCTCCAGCTTTCAAAAAGCACTTTTCATATGCTTTTACCATTCCAGAAGCCGCACTCTTCTCACAAATGTGTATACACACGTGTACAGGGACACAAAAGTCTCATTCCGTGCTATCCTGGATATTTTATATCCACACTGCAAATGGGATAGGTGGTGGTGGTGTGCGTGATTGGCACCGATCGATTTTTCATACATGCCGATCAGTAGCGGCTCTCTCGGCGCACAAACGCTTTGGGGGAAACCATATACATTTCGGAGCTCTCTGTATCATCTTTTCACGGCTCGCTGCAGTTTTTTTTTTTTTCTCTTTTTTTTTGTGCCTTGGCGCATCACTCGCTCGGTTTCTTAAATTTTTTGTACCTACTGTGTGGATAGCTAGTACCTTTGAATGTGGTACACGCGATGAAAGATTCAGCCATAGTTGGGTCGGGCTACTTTTGAATGCGGCTTGTTACTCAAGGGAATACGTATATTTAACCCATGGAAGAAAATTTTTAATTTTGAAAAGTGGAGCACTGGAGCACACATCCCTAAATATTACAACAATTTGGAACTGAATAATAAATCGGTTATCTGTTTAAAAAATTGAAAAAAATAAATTTCACATAAGAAAACGTGTCGATGCTAAAGAAAAAGTTAGCCTTGATTCGACTAGTAGCCGGTTACAACTGCCACTCAACCGTCACGTATGGATTTCTCTCGCAGGAATAAAACGGTTAAAGGGTTCAAGCATTTTTAAACGAATTAAATTTAAGCTCCCCAAAGATCCACCAAGTACAGCACGTCTAATTGCTCAATTACCATAGTTCCAAGGCACGTGAGAGATATGGAAACCAGGAGCGAACAAAGGCACGGTCTTTGGAGAACAGGGAGCCATCGAGACAATGATATCCATGAGAAGAAGAGGGAAAAAAATGGACTGCGCCCAGCGGGTAAGCTGAGAATCTCCCAGCACTCGATCGAAGGGGGTTTCCGTGAGCGAAACAGCGGCTAATTATCCCCAGCTCGTTTGTTTTACAAAACAATCCCACTCTACAGCCTCACTTGCGGGGAAAAAAGAAAAAGGTAAAAAAAATGAACTGAATCTTTAACTTGGAAAGTAAGAGTGGTTTTACACTCGGGGTATCGTTAAAAAAAAAATAAGTTTGATCACGTGGGTAGCGCGGTATTGTGTATATATACAAGGAGTGTACATCAGAAGCGCCGAGGAGCACAATTGAAAGAGAGTGTGAGACGTGCACAATGGAGCTCCCAGCATACACCTATATAATGTCGGGTATAAGCAGAGCGGCTTGCGCTTATTGTGTCCATGTGTGCGAAGCCAAGTGTATTATATATATATATTCAGCCGACACGTTAGTGTATGTACACACACACACACACACACACACACACACAAAAACGACGGGCAAGTAATACAAATACGCGTGGCTTCTTTTGCGCCTCACCTTTCTTCTCCCTCCGCAGGCTCTTCTTTTCATTGTCCAGTCCATTATCTGATGTGATTAGCCGATGATGCAGGTAAAGCTGCCGCGGGGGGTCCGCTCCTTTTGCCCCGAATCCCTCGCATTGTAAGCGAGCCGCCAACGTTTAGAGCGTGAAAGCGAAACTCGGGATTTGTAATACATTTTTAGTGAAATTTTACTGGATCCGAGTGGCTGTCTTGCGAGGGATTTCATAAGGAAAAAAAAAGTATCTTGGGTAGCTCAATGGGGTGAAAAAAAATTTGACGATCCGTGTCTTTGACAAGACACAGGTATCTCGGGTGACCAAACACAGATGCATTTTAATGATTTTTAAAAAAACAAAAGAAAATAGTTTTTATTGAAGGATTTCGAAGCAAATCTTTGCACGACTTCAATTGAATTTCCTTACACTGAGAAAAATATAAAAACCAAGAGTCACCAAAGAGTTTGGTGTTATTGCACTCTTATGAAGTAAGGCAGCACATCCAGGGGGGCTGGATAATCGTTCAACCATCCGTGATTGACGTAAACCTTCCCTGTCCTTGGATCCTTCCATCGGCCTCGTGGAAGGAAAACGTGGCGAGAGGTTGCCCCCTCCTCGATGACAGGGGCTACCAGGATGTCTTCCCCTAGGAGGTATTCTGCAACGGAGTTGATGATGAATTTCTATCGATACATTTGGAGCAGTTATACATGGGAATGTAAAGACAATTATTTACCATCGCTGATTTTGTGGGCTTCGGCGCTCGTGGGGTCCACCCACCAGATCGGAGGATTTATCGGAGCCCCCGTGCTCACAGCTTTCTTCATGAGGTCAATTATGTTTGGCGAATATTGGGCGTGTAGATCGGTGTACGTTTTGCTGATCTTAATTGTCTGCAAACATTATTGTCATAAGGTGTATCATTACATGCCAAACGATTTTCACGTCTTTAGGATCAGTAAGGATTGAGTCGTCACCTCGGCGTCGTAGTCCCACGGGACAAATGAGTATTGCAGAGAAGGCATGAAAGCATTAGCCTGCAGCCATCTGATAAACAGCTCCTTCGATGGCAGTTGAGTGCTGTTGATGTTGTTGTTGACGTACCCGTTGCCACCAATCATATCTGGTAGAACGAAGACGTAGCCGTTCAAATTCATCTGCAGCAGAGTGGTAATCAGTGTGGGCAGTCCATTGTTCCACGTCCATCGCGAGTCTTTGTCGATCATTCGCACGAATATGGGTAGCTTCTGGCTTCTCCAACCGACGCGCACCTCGATCACATCGTCAAAGTGGCTGGCCAGATTACTCGTGTAATTCAGAGTGTAAATGCCAGGCAGTAAATCCGATGGCCCCGTCAGTTTTGGCCTTCCTTCGGGCAGCCACGACGTCTCGCCGGCGTCGAATTTGAAGCTATCGATACCCAGTGCTTGCAGTTTCTTCAAACGGCCCACCCACCACTCGACGGCCTTTGGGTTCGTGAAGTCAATGGCAGCCGCGTGTGGCCCTGTTTCGAAGGATACGTTAATTAGACGAACGTTATTTTCAATTCCTTATAAAAATCAGAGTATAGTTTACCCTGCCACCAGCTGGTCTCAACATTGCCAGTCTCGTTTCTTACAAAGTAGTTTTGATCTAGAGCATAATTGTACTCGGTATCGCATTCTTTGTTGATGAACGGGTGGATCCAGAGTGTGACGCGAAAGCCCTTATTCTTCAAATCAGTGGTTAGAGCCGTTACGTCGGGAAATTTATTCGGATCGAATACCGCGGATCCGTAACAAGTCTCCCAATTGTCGTCGATCTCGATCTGACTGTTACTGAAGCCTCTGTCGATGATTTCTTGGGCGAATTCCCGGACAACTTTGTCGTTCACGTTGACCTTGTACCTGGCCCAAGTGGACCAGATCGGATGGGTGACCATTCTCTCGGACGGACGGCCGGTAGGTTTGCCAAAGTGTTGCTCGATGACGCGAGTATGGGCAGTTCTAGGATCGGAAAAAACACCAATTTCGTAGTTGAGCGTGACCTTGGTCCTCTCTTGGTACGGCTTCTTGTTTTTCGCGATCAGGCACAAGTGCTTGGCCTTGAGGTTGTTCTGGTCCAGAAAGAGCGGGTCGCTTTCGTTAGCGAATACGTATATTCCTTTGCTCGACAGCCAGTACCTCTCGGCGAGGGCCATATTTTGTGGGTGGGTCGTCACGTACGACTCCTCCTCGTAGTACATGTGCTGGATGGGCCAGTGCTGGTACCTCCACTGTGGTCCTCCGTACCATTGCGCGTCGTCCAGAGAAAAGCAGTCGTCCAACTCCCCTTGGGCATCGCTCACGACACGGCTGATGTATACGACCTCGTTTTCGGGATCGGCTTTTATTTTGGCGTAGGTATTGCCGGCCAGTTGGATGCACGTTGTCAACCTCTCGCAGTCTTGTTCGATTTTCAGAGCTTCATCGCTTTTTAACGCTGGGTTCTTCGTGAACAGGGAAGCTTCTATTTTCGTTCCATCTGAGAAACATAAATGTACCATTGGCTAATACATTGGCATTGATAATGAAAAATCCAAGTAGCGCTCGTAGCTTTTACCATTTTTTCGAATACTCAAAACAACTTGCTTGTCTTTCGTTTCGATACTGAGAGTTCCGGTTTTTATCTTTTTGCTGATGAACTTGGACGGGTCCTTTCTCGGCTCGCAGCACAACCCACTGACCACCAGTAGGGCCAATACCGCTAGAAATTAACGTAACAATCTTGTTTAATGAAATTTGCCACTTTAAACGCGTAATATTACTTTTCACATAGAGTCAAGTCTTTCTGATGTATAATCGTCTAAATTACTGCAAATGTGTATACAATTGATTGCTTACCACAAAACAGTATCGACTTCATCGTGTTAATGACATCATCGCTCTGTCGTGCAGTCACATCTGGGACATTATATACTCGTTATAAAAAGGCTTTTATTCACTATATTGATTCTTTATCGGTATTCAATGACAAAAAATAAAAGTATCGCTGACACGAATGTAAGGACGTACATCTTTATAGCTGAAGAGTCTTATCGGGTTTTTTAGACATAGTCAATTTTGTTATCATTCATGGTCAAGTAACAGCAAATATTATATCGCATGGCTATTTAATAATTGATTATTTTCTTTTTCTTTTTTTTTTTACTCGTTCAATAGTCAAAAATATTATTAAATTAATTGAGCTGCACATTTAATTATTGCAAGTACAAAATCGCTGACAAAGCTTTCTCAAACTATCATGCATTTTTATCTTTTTATTGCTAACTTAAATTCAATTGATTGACGTTATTCTGATTGTCTTAAAAAAAAAAGAAAAAATCCTTACTGTGACCAATACTTGGACTATACAATTCATATAAAAGAGGAGGAGTAATCTATGCATCGGAAAAATACGTACGCTCACAGGTTGTTGTTCACACGTTTGTACCGTGCCAACGGGGAGATAATTGTTATTGAAAAAACCAATCCCAATAAAAATACTTGATGATTATCTCCAATGACTGAGATAAGCTCACTCGACTCTGTTGCCGATTGAAACCTAACGCCTATTCCACTGAGATAAGAATTTCAATGGCTCGAAAAAAAAATCCAAAGATACATTTTTCCACGCGAGCAAATAACACACCGTTGGTGGAAACGTCGACACACACGGGGAGAGCACGCAAAATTTTTCATCCTTCGAAAAAAAAAAAAAAAAAAAAAAAAAGAAAAATCGGTCCAGCGATGTATCTAAATCTCCTTGGTTTCAAAGCATCATAAGCACACGCTCGGAGCCCGGCTTCCGTAAAACAAGCGTACCCCGGGCGGTGGTCGGCAGTAGAGCTTTTGCTCGTTCCTCCTCCGCTCCATTACACCCATGCACGCGCATTCCTAAAGCACACACACACAGCGGCAAGTACAGGAGTTTCCTTATACTTTTTCCTCGACGATTTTCCCTCTCCCGTTCATATACTGTATACAGTCACGTAGCGCTGACCACAGCCGATCTTTTTCTCTCAACACACGTGGCCACGGTAGAGCAGTCGGAGGAAAAGCTCGTAATCCTCTTACGCACCCGGGGGCCCACAAAGTAAAGTACGCGAGCGAGGCCCTCTCTCTTTCGCTACTTTTACGCACCGCTACAAACGATATACATATACAATACGTATAGAGAGAAAGAGAGAGACAGGAGCGCAAATGAATCGGAAGGGTCGAGTTTGTATGTGCGTGTGCGAGCGAGTGGCAAATGAATGAGCTGTATTAGCAGGCGCGTTCGCGTGGATGACCGCTCAAGTGGACGACCGTTAGTTGCGATGGGAAAACATCTATGTGCCGATTTCGGATGGTATAAATAAATACCGAGCGATTTCACGGCCAACCGGACGCACGTGTTGGCTCTCTCTCTCTGTCTGTATATTATGTACCGCAATTGTGTTTCCTAGTGGTTACTTTTGAATCGTTACTCCGTAGAGAAGGTGCCAATCGATATTCTTTTTTTTTCGCAAAGAGCACTTTGTCCCTTTAATCGGTTGATTATCAAAGATGCGTGTATTTCTGATGTTATGTCAAACGCATAGGTGTAAATCGTCGAGAAATAAAAGAAAAAAACGCGCTTTTTCCGACCAGAAAGAGAGAGGGTTGTAATTACCGTTCGAGCCGCGCGAGTTTCAAAGTTTGATCGCGCGCGCTAATAGTCCGTGTGCAAAATTCATCGGCTTGAATAATAAAGTTCGCATTGCCGCGATATTCCGCTGCTGTTGCTATTGTCTGCATAGCTTTGATTTCGACTTTCGCTCGTACGTGGGTGTAGGTTCGGGGATAAATTGGGGGTCGATGTATTTATCTCTTGTGTTACTCGGCGTTTAGCGATAGCGCGTGTTTGTTTATCAATTGAGTGAGGATCGATCGCCGCGGTCTATCGGTGCCGGTTTATTGACGCACTTTGAAATTTTTACGTTTCGTAATGCGGTGGTATAATATGCAAATCATCATCATCTCTCAAAATTTCTCTAATATTTTCTTCAGTGGCACGTATGGGATACTCTCGTCGTGTACTCTCTTCACTTAATTATTTGCAAAACTGAGGTAAAATTAAGAAGAAAAAAAAAAGAGGCACCCTAATTCATAATTTTCGTTTTTCTTTTTCATCGTAAAAGTCCACAAAATTTATCCACAAGGACTTGCCGGACACGCTGTATGCGTTGAAAATGAATATTCCATTATTTCGGGTGAAAAACAAGCTCACGTTTTCTGTTTGAAAATATTCATGCGAAACTTTTTCCAAGCCCGACCCATTAAAAGACTTCAAAAAACGAGACAACTTATACCTTGTCCTAAAAAACCTTTCGTATCAAAAAAAAAGAAAAATTTCCGTATACAGGAGTACCTTTAAATGAAAAAAAAAAAGCAAGCGTACGCGTAAACATTTCTTCAACGGGATCCATTAACGCGCGAGACTTGCATCGGGCCCCTCCTCGCGTATATTTGTAAAAATTTTCGTCCTCGAAAAAACATTCGAAAGAAAGAAAAAGGACACTAGCGCGTAGTAATGGCAAAAGACAACATCACCCGCGCATCAAGTCCATTAATCCTTGTTTTCCCGAGTCCTCGAGACAAGAGCCTCCCACCGGCGGCACAAACGAGATTTTTCAAAAACAAGCGACGCCCTGCACACACGCACCCCAATGTACCGGCGCAATAAAACCACTGCGAAAAAGAAACGGCCAAGACAAAAAAACCGCCTACAGCTCGTTCGCGGATACACAGGGAGAGAGAGAGACATCCCAACCCCCTCCCCCACCCCAAAAAAAGAAATAAAAAAACGCATACACACGCGTGGGGCGCAAATTAGCTCGAGTATACATCTCTTGCTTTGCGATCTTTTGTACGCGGTGCTCACGCACACCGCGTATTTATGTATAAGGTACATACAGGCAGACGAGCATGCGATTATCACACACGCACAAAAGGTATAGCCGCGAGCTCGCCTGATATATCCTTCCTCGCCGCGCCCACCGTGAAAATTGTAAAAAAAAGGATATACACATATGTATACAGCCACGTCGCACCGAGGGCGGTGGCAGCCACAAACTCCGTGCGTATATACACCACTGCACCCATATCTGTAAAATCGCGCGATACGTGCACCCTCCGTCCCTCCCTCCTCCCGGGCACCCACGGAGCACCGCAATATCGCCAATACACGCGCATCAGCCGTAGACGCGCATCCAATGCAGTGCGGAAGGGAGAGAGAAGGGGCGCAAAGGTGGATACATAGCCGAGAGGGCTATAAAGGCTAATTGGTTAAAAGCTCGGTGCTGCTGCGAGTGGAGCCACCCCCGTATCCTCGAGCAGAGCACGTGTATATATGTATATGCATCCGTGCAGGCTTAAATCAAGATCTTGCCCAAGTGCGAAAGAGAGAGAGAGAGAGCGAGAGAGAGCTGTATACAGTGTTATAATGGATAAGTAACAAACAACAGCAACGCGTTGTGTGGCACCACACGTATACGTAACGGCGTCTCGTGTGCCTCCGTACAACCGCATCGTCTATACCTACCCCCTTGAGCCCAATCGTCCCCTCGGGTTGCGGGGAACACCACCACCAGCGCCCCCCCCCCCCATGTGTGCGTTTGTAAGATAGCGTCGTTCAGTTTGGTATACACGGCGTGCACGGGAGGGAGGGAGGGAGGGGAGCCGACGATTGGCGGAAAGACGCGGAGGCTAGCGGCCCATCGATTGACCCTTCCGGCCAATGGGGACGCCCCGCCAGCATCCCCCTAGATTCAAGCTCCGCCTACTCGTACGCAAAGTGCCAGAAGAAGGGATGGAGAGAGAGAGAGAGAGGTTGGAGCACGGAGGGGGTTCGGCCGACAACTTTCGAAAGAGAGCCTCGGAGGGGGGGAGGGAGAAGTGCCGTCGCTCGAAGATGCGTACCTTACACAACACCCTCCACCACCACCACCAGAGCCATAGTGCCGTATCGCTGCAGCCACTTCGCTTTCCACGGGGTATCCAATTCTGGATAGTTTATACGCCACCCTCGTCCCAGACCAACCTCTCTCTCTCTCTCTCGTGTGTGGACGGATGTACTATAATAGAGAGATCCACACACGCGTACACTTGCCTCCCTCGTCCTCTCGACTAACCAGCAGATCAAGCTCCGCACCGCACACACCACCGGAGCTTTCGCCGCTCGACCCCCACCCTCGTCCCGGATTTTTTTTTTTTTCCCTCGCTCCGTACGTGCGATTATATCAACCTTTCCCCCTCCCCCCCCCCCGACGACCCCCAGGGCGCGCGCGCCATTCGCCCTCGTGTCTTTTTCTCTCGCGCGCGAGTCAGTCTACAAAGCTGGCTCTCCTTATACGTACACGTACACCTCCCCCCCGGACCCTTTTAAGCTAAACGCCCGTCGACTTGCACGCCAGCCCGAGAGTGCGGTTTTCCTACCCGGCCGATCACCAGTCTGTCAGCGCGGACGAGCCGCGCGCCACCCTTACCTCAACGTCCCACGCATAACCACCAGCTCCGTTGTATAGACGGACAACCCTCGTCTGACGGTGTTTTCCGAAATAAAGGAACTATACAGCGGCCCACTTTTGCGCGCGCGCGTACCGTCCCGTCGTGGTAATTACAGCTGCAGTGGCATACTACTGGTGGAGGAAGAAGAAGAAGAGCGGCGGCAGTGCTTGGTGCGAGACGGGTGCCGAACTACCCCCCAGATCGAGATCGTGCATGTGCAACTCCCTTGTTTACACCGAGTCGTGTTCGAGGCACCGGTGAACGCGTGTCTTTTTTGTTTTTTTTTTTTTTTGTGGCCGTCACGATGCTCCGCAGGACATTGCTGCCGATGGTGCTAGTAGTGGTGGTAGTGGTGGTGGTAACGGTGACGGGAGCTTCGCAGTAAGGATGACAGTTGTGGGGCACGGTTTAGGCTCGTAGTTGCGCGAGTAAAATTGAAAGTATATACTTGAGTGTTTTTTTTTTCCCCCCCGTCTCGGACACAGTATGACCTCACTCGAACGTCGGCAAATGACGAGGACTGCTTCCGTCCGACGGTGGGGTTCCGAAGAACGCAAGCTCCCACCCTCTTGGTAAACGAGGGATGTTCGGGGTATGATGGTGTTTCCGACAAAAGTGTTGGAGATTCGTGGGACGAATTCGGGTTGGGTCGAGGACGATACGATCCGTGGGTGCGTGGAAGGTTGTAGCAGTGCCATGCCCAAGTTCAAGCGGATCCGAGCGACGGAGATGGTGTGGCGATAAAAAAAAAAAAAAAAAAAAAAAAACTACTTGTCAATACCTCGTTGGAAATATTTGACACCCAATACTGGAATTTGAGGGAGTGCGAGGAGAAATAGATGACGGACTCGGTGTGACGGTAGCTTGAGCTTTTTCCATCGTGATTCCAAGCTTACCTTGGGTAAAAAAAAAAAAAAAAGAAAAATAAAAAGGATGTCGGGAGAGACGGAGATCGAGGTGTCGGTGGTCTCGGAGGAGGACCTCGACTTGGAGACGTCGCGGGGCAGCCCAACGCCGGGGGACCTGCTGCAGGACGGCAAAAACGGCAAGTCGAGCTGCCTGTCGTCGACGACGAGCTCCTTTGGCTTCGACGTGGCCAAGGCGGCCCTGCGCCCGGCCTGCAATCCCCAGTACACGTCCTTCAGCATATCCAGTATCCTGGGCCGGGCCGAGTCACCCCCGTCGGACACGGCCTCGGCCGGCCGGGCCTCGCCGCTCTCCAACCATCACCACCACCACCACCACCACCATCACCATCACAATCACCACAATCACAATAACCACAGGCCGCGGTCGCAGAGCCCCAAGAGGATACTCTCGCCGACGGCCCTGCGGTTGGCAAAGTCGAGCCAGGCCGAGGTCAACAACGCCATCAGTTTGATAACGAGCAGCGGCAGTGCAGGTGGTGCCAACAGCGCACCGAGCCCACTGAGCGTCAGCTTCGCGCCGACGGAGCCTGGCAACTCGCCCCTCATCGGCCATCACGCCTCCTCGGATCTGGCCATGCTGTCGAGGTAGGTTTTTTTTTCTTTATCTTTTTTTTTTTTTTTTTTTTCTACGAGTTCAATCATTTTTACACTTAAAATTCTGTACGCTTACGGAACAACAGAAAACAACATTTGAGTGCCAACCGTATACCTACTTTGCGTGATTTTTTTTTAAGAGGGCGGAGGGGGGGGGGGTAGCTTCATTATTAAATTTAATGTTGGTGCTGTGCAAATATCAATGACCAATCAAATAATTTAGATAAATTTGGAGAATGGAACTAGTAAAAATTTTTTCGAAACTAAAAAAGCCTGGTTCCAACAAAATATTTAACAAAAACTTTGGTTTTACCACTCAAGTGCAAAGCAATAATATAAGTATAAGTATATAAGTAGCGTTTATTAAGCCGTGAGGTATGACCACGTATGGCTTCGAGTAAATTACACAGGAAAATACAGTATAATAATATATACAGAATAATTTTACAGTTCAAATTACATACGTGATATTATCGGTTATTTATAAATTCAGTAAGAGATACAATTACATTTGTCTTTCTATGTGTATATCTATGAGAAAATGTTGAAAGATGAGTGTTGATAAGCATGAAAATAAAAACGTAAAGGGTAATCTAGAGGTGGGGTGAAAGTCTGCATTCTTTATTCCAATGGTTCGAGTCGAGGGTGAGTTGAAGAGAAGAGTGCGTTTGAATAAGGCGGTTTGAGTTGGATCAAATATTGTTTGACGTAGCCGTGTTAAAAGTGTAGTTGATTGAATCAAAAAAGAATTTCTCATGTTTCCTGAGCAAAAAGCAGGGCATAACAGATAATGCTGCGGAAAGCGCATGGACCGTCTTAATTGCGGGTGAGAGAGCATCAATGAGAAACGTGCAGCCAAGTAAGTGGGGCTATTATGCGCCAATATAGAGTACGCAAAAGAGCCAAGAAGATACTCTCCACGCCTACCCACAGAAAGCCACCCCAAAGCGATTCGATGCGATGTTACTCTGTCATATCTACCATTCCCTCCTTGCACGAAACGCAATTAGAGTAGTGTGGAGGCGAAGATTTGAAGTTGAATCAATAATATGATATGCCACAGACATATAATCAAAAATGGGGAAAATTAAGGTCTCAACCAACAGCTTTCTTAGTGAGACCGGGAGAGAGCATGTTTACAATGTTTAAGACTATGAAGAGAGCGAAGAGCCCGACTAGACACATGAGCAGCATGTTTTCCCCAATGCAGCGTCGGTGCCAGCCAGAGGCCCAGGTTATTGACTACAGAAACATAATCAATAGCCATACCATCAAGAGTCACAGGTGGAATAATTACAATGATAAGACTATAATACACAACACAATGAAATCGCACTAAAAAAATATAAATACCACAACTTAGAAATCTTTTTTTTTAATAAGTCTCTGCACTACTTGCGTTTAGAAGATTATTCGTCCAACAGCATACGAAGCTTCAATAATGTACCCGTTGAAGCTGAGTAGTCGCTTTTCAAGGCCTAAGGAGCTGACCCCGACGTCCAAGTAGGAATGTAAACACATAAAACACGACATTGTTGGTGAAGAAATGGAGGTCAGCAAGCAAGAATCCCAAATCAAAAGCACTTGAAAGCAGAAAACGAACTCCCTGGCTCAGAAAAAGGAGCCCGCTGTTATACTCCAGAACGCAAGAGCCAACACGAGTCCGAATCACCTAAAACAGAAGCACTTTGGGAAGTGCGAAGAGAGTGTGAGTAAACGGAGACTAGATATGTAGAGAGCAACCATAAGTACGTCCGTCTATACTGGCCAAGCGACAGCGACTCAATATATATAACAGGGGTGCAATTTCCTACATCTGAAAAGAAATTGCTATACGTAAAATCTGAATGTATAAAATTGCAATGGATTTTAGTGCCATTTAACAGTTAGTATTTAAGTGATTTGATGACTATTTCATCAGTCTAAACAATCACTAGTTCCTTTGCTTTGCGATGGGTAACATTTTTTATTTTTTTATTTTTTAATAAAATCCTAATTTCAAAGCAGCCAAAGCTTTAGATTCAACTATTTTGAAAACTTGTGCCTTTGTATTTATAGCTAATACGAATGAACTGCTTCTCCCGCATTAAAACGACAAAGCTTATAATATGCTCTAACGATTCACTCGTACCATATATTCCTACACCTTTCACTGGTGCATTTTAATTGCACGTTGCTTCATCAAGCTCATTAATGGCACCCGCACTTTTTCTCGGCATTTAGCAAAAAATGCATTAAATTTAACTCCACGAACAACACCTTATAACGATTGAAGCCCTTGGGTTTCCAAAACGTCGACGGATGTTTGCATACGTCTGCATAAAAATACCGTTAGTCGACGTTGAAGGTTTCCAATTAGCACAAATTTTGCAGATGCGTACAAAAGATCGCTTGAAAACATTACGCACGCAAGCGAGCTTCTCTTATGTCGTAAAACTCCCTTTAGCGAGTTGAATCACGTAACTTTCGCGAATAAGCACAAACTCATATTCCATGTGTCTTTGTACCGAGTAAAAATAAAAAGATTCATCATCGCTGGAAATTTTAATTAAGTTGTTTTAGTCATGTGACAGCTCGAGCCTCAGCTCGTGAAATTGAAAGGCAATCAAAACAAGCGCGACATTTATCCGATTTTCGAAATAAAACAAATTTCCTTGCGATGCAATCGTCCTTTGACACCTACTCATGTTGTTATCAAGCTGAGCTTGCAAAATTTGCCATTGTTTTTTCACAACTCAACATCGGTAACCAACAATGTCGTGGTACACACTAGGCGACAGGATGGACATACATTTTTCTCTAAAATAAATAAAAAGCCAAATATTAAAAAAAAAAAAAAAAAAAAAAAAAAAAAAAAAACAAAGCGTTGAATTTTTTTTAAATTTTCTTTAAAAACGGCACAAACCGAGAAGAGAAAGAGTCCGCTTGTATACCCACCTTTGTACACAATTGCATCTGTATGCACGTGCACTTACACGTACCACGAGTTTACGTACATATATAATGGTTAGTATTGATCAAAACCTTTGTCGACGGACAAATCCGCGTCTCCGTGTGTGCACGCGGGTACATGAAAATACGCGATGGGATACCTGCCTTTCGCGGCGCGGGGGAAAAAAAAGAGAGATGGAGCGCTTACTGTTCAACTTTGGCCGGCTCCCTTTGAGGAAACGAAAAACACCCGCGTTGGGCATCTTCGACGAATGGAAGGGTATGTATACATGCGTGTGTGTTGGTGTACCCCGCGAGGCTGAATTTTCATTCATTCAGCCAAAGCATATCCTTTCCTTGCCGCTTGTTACGTGCTCTTTTTTCCCTCTTCCTCCTTGGCTTTGGCCACGGGTATCGTTACATCGTTTTCTCTTCTCCTTCCCGATGCAGCTCTCGGTGCACTCGCTAACTTTGGCGATGATTCCTTTCTAACCACACGTTGATGCGTATCACTTGATTCTTCTGGCCACGGATTAGCTTGCATTGACGCTGCTAAGACCTTCCTTTTTTTTACTTCTAGTATACTTGCTTGATGTGTTTTAAAGTGTTGAAGAATATGTTTGGGTCGTCGATAATCGAAAAAATGCGTAAGTAAAAGCAACAAATCATAATTGTATCCAAAAAAAAATTAGTATTTTTGAAAAAAAAAAAAAAAAAAAAAAAAAAGGAAAGAGAGAGAATTGCACATGGTATTCAGTACATAGATGAAAAACACCCAACAAAAAGAAAGCCCGCATCGTTCGAATTACAAGTCGCTAAAATAATCACTATCGAGAAATCGCTCCAAAGTAACAATGGGACTCGGTCATCCGCGACAATCAAAATACACTGCCGCGTCAATAAATTCATTTCCCGGTGTGCATTATCCGGGCGTGTCCATAAACACAAAAGCAATCATTCCCGAACGTCATTACTTTCGTGCAATTTTAATCACATCAGGAGTCAAATGGATCTTAATTAACGCCTCGCCAAGCCGCGCACACATGCGTAATTACGGGGATTCGTAGCCCCGTATCACACCATCTCGCCCCGCGTCCGGTCGATTAAATCATCCCGTGGCCACGAGCACACACACACACACACACACACACAGAGAGAGAGAGAGAGAGAGAGAGAGATCTAGGCACGCAAATTAACGTGAGCGCGTGTCAGCTGGCGAATCTGATTTTATCTATGGAAATTTGCCACGGGGAAGAAGAGCCAACCCCCCTATGACTCGGGTGAGTTTTTGGCTCCTCTCTTTTGCAAACACGGCTATTCGATGGATAGCCTCTGCAAGTGTCATCTTTTATTATGCATATGCTCTCCAACTCGAGCTTTTATACATGCTCATATACGTGGTGGTTTTTTTGTTTTTATCAGTAAAGAAAATTGGACGATTATACTCCCGAGGTAAAATTGAGACGCGCAAGAAAAGTACGTACTCTTTGTCTGTGAGTGATGGCAAAAAACCAGCGGCCATTGATCGTGGCAATAGCGCAGGGACACGCTGAAGCTTTACAGACTCGTACACGTATACATACACATACAGTTGGCTAATCCGAAGCGTGTGGTTGGCATTAACGAGATCAAGACTCTGTCCTACATTTCGTTTGATCGATACAAATTCGAAAAGTCGTTCTCCTCGTGTACCTGTACCACCTACACCTCCACGTGTACACCCCTAGCGCGTACAATACTTTGACAATGAGACAATACATGACAGTCTAGACAAAAGAGACACCGGCAAAAATCACAGCCCTTGACTTGCAAGTGAGACGAATCTCTTGCGAGAGCCATACGTATACACCAGTAAAAGCCTTCCCCCCTCGAAAGTAACTCGAACCAACAAATCCCATGAACCAAAAATCCCCGTAATAACAAGAGAGCCGAGCGATAATCTCTCTCGCCCGAGCTCCCATCGAAAGTATGAACCATCACCCCCCACGCGCCCACCAAGCAAACGCTCGGGTAAGAGAGAGAGAGAGAGGGTAAGTACCACCTACAACATATATATATAC